GCTGCTCCCCTCAGCACCCCCATTTCACTCCCACCCCCTAGACTCTCTGGGCCCTTGACCCAGCCCTGCCTCGCTCCCGCTTCGGTCTCTCCCTCTGAAAAATGACGTCCGTCTCCAGGTCCAGCCTGATGGGCAGAGGGTCCCGGAATCCAGCCCTGCCCGTCTCCACGGGAGCACTCTGGGGAGGGAGGGCCCAGCCGAGCAGCCCCAGGAACAAGGGCCTCACTCAGCCCTTGCTGTGCGACCTCGGATGGCTCCCCAGAGCCCCAGTTTCCTTGTCTGCAAAGTGGGGTGTATCTTCTGTGTACCCCAGGGCTGTGGGGAGGGCCACAGTAAGTGAACCCAAGCTTGTTTTGTAAATGATAAAGTACTATGCAAACACAGGAGGTGTGAGGAGGTGGGGAGGGGAGGCATGCGTTGGGTGGCGGGAGACAGTTTGATGAGAACCTGCTGTCCAATGACCCATTTTCCAGAAATAATTTTAAGAAACCAACAGCTGCCACAGAGTTGATTCCAGCTGCTGGCCCCTCCATGTGTTACCACAGTGGGACTGTATTCCATGAGGGTTTCAAGGCTTGATGTTCTCGGAAGTGGTTTGCCAGGCCTTACCTCGGAGGTACCTTGGGTGGCTCGCCCTGCCAACCTTTCACTTAGTAGAGGAGGGTGTACCGGGGGGCAAAGAGCTGGAAACGGTGTCTGCTTGTTAGGGATTGAATTCTACCTGGAATCTTCACCCCTGTACCTGTGGTTATAGTCTTTGTGGGAATTGGCCTTCTTTGTTACGTTAATGCAGCAGTATTAAAGGCAGGGTCTGTCTTAAATCTGAAAGAGCAGATCGAATAAGCAAGCAGAGATGGGGGGAGACAGACGCCAGGACACGAGATCTCCAAGGCACCAAGAAACAGAAGCTGGAAAGAGACAAGGGCCTCCTCCTAGAACCCATGCCCTGAATCTAAACTTCTGGCCTCCTACACTGTGAGAAAATCGATGTCTGTTTGTTAAAGCCACCCCCTTGTGGCGTCTGGTTACAGCAGCTTGGAATCACCTCGACAGGTTTGATTTTGGTGTTTATATAACTAGACACGGGTGTTCATCTTTTCTAATCTTGTAGTTCATTGCCACATGGAGAGTCAAGGTGACCACAGTCTAGGGCAGCAGGGAAGAGCCCGAGGCCAACTGAGGGTTGAAATCCTGGCTTTGCCACTTCCAGATTGCATGACTTTGAACAAGTCAGTCAACCTCTCTGAGCCTTGGTATTCACCCTTGAGAAACGGAGAGGGCCGCAGTCCCTCCTCACAGAGCCTGACAGGGGCACACAGGCCAGAGGAAGGGCTGGCTGAAAACCAAGCTCAGCAGGGGGTCTAGAAGTCTGCTCCCTTGGCTCAGGGCCAGTCCTAACCCAACGCTTTGCCCAGGAACAGAAAGGACATGACTGGAGCCTAGACTCCTTGGCTGTAAGGACAGGACATGTGGCCTCAGTGGAACCCAGACCCTGACACATGGGGTCTCAATCATAGCCAAGCCACCCCGCATCCGTGAGGCGGGGTCTGGGGCCAGACCTACCTCAGGACTGGGGGAGATGAGGGAGACAAACGCCAGGAAGACATTCTTGGTGGAGAGCTGGACGCTGGCGTTGAACGTGTTCAGCTCGTGCAGGCTGGCTGAGGTGCTCTCAGGACAGATGTCCTGGGTGCCAGCAAAGGGGGACACGGTAATGGTGGAGCTGGAGTCCTCGAAGGGTGTGTTGTTGCTCAGACCACCATCTAAGTAGCGCTGCAGTGGGGGGGGGGGAGTGGGCGGTGCTGTGCTCTGGGGCCACCGCCCTCCTGCAGACCGCCCCAGAGCCACTGCATCCTCTCCGGCCAAGGGTGCTGAGTTCCCTTCGAGGGGGAGGAGGGCCTGGCACACAGGGGGTGCCCTTGGAGCCCAGGCAGGGTTAGTAATCTCACCTGCAAAGGGCACTCACCTCCCCTCTGAATTCAGGGGGAATCACCCCGCAGTAGAAAGGCAAGTATAAGGTACAGACCAAGGCCTGAGGAGACAAAAGGTAGAAAGAACACAATGACTCAAGTTCCCTGACGCTCAGAACCTACTGCAGCCACTGCATCTCCCTCAAAACAGCATGGATTCATCCCACGCCCACATAAGGGACATGGGTTCCCTGGGGCCCAGGGAGGTGTCATAACCCAGCCACATTGCTCAAGTCAAAGAGAGAGGGAATGCCAGCCTGTCCTGATGCCCGTTCTCTTTCTGCAGACAGAAAAGGCACTGACAAGTCCTGCAGTGAAAAGGGCCCACAGTATAGAACAGGGGTTCTATGCCTCACCACTACTGACTGAGCTGCGACAGTTCTTCATGGTGGGGGCTGTCCTATGCACAAGGGGGTGTTAGCACCTGTAGCTTCTAGATGCCACTAGCACCCCACTCCCAAGTTGTGGCAAGGAAAAATATCTCTCATCTGGCTAAATATCCTCAGGGAGCAAAATGCCCCCCCCCATGAATATCACTGACCTAGGGGGCCCTGACCTTGTGGAATCTCCACCCTTTCACCCTTTCTCACGGAGCCCTGGGACCCAGCCCTCGGGCCCTCTCAGGAAGATGCAGAACCCACTTGGCCCCATGGGATAAGGATGTGGGCGAGGGCCTTACCCCTGTGGAATAATGATTCACAGGAGCCCATTTTTCCTAAGTACCTACTATGTGCTGGGGCCTATCCTAGTGCCATCAGGCAAGGATGCCAGGGCATGTTTGGGTTCCCACCTGGCTTCCTCAAGGGCCCATGGGCACGTGCCCACAGCAAGGGCTCATGCCACGCCCTGCTCTCCTCCACACTCTCAGCTGAGGCCTTCTGGGGTAAAGGTCTGTCTCCCCACCTGTCTGGACAATGCCGCAGGCTAGGTCCCTGAGTCACCCTCACAGCCACACCAGGCAGGTAGGGGCAGGGCCTCTTTCCTGACTGGTAGCTCTCATCTCCCCATCTTATAGTTGTTAATCCACTACCTGGGGAGGTGTGCGTTACCTGCCCCTCCCCCAACACGCACCACACGGAATGTGAGCTGCAAGGAGGGGCTTTGTTGTTCTTTCCCTGTAGTGTTCCCAGCCCCCAAACTGTGACAGATTATGCAAAAAGTGCAGTCAGTTCAGGGTGGGGGCTGGGCAGGCTGCCCCTACAGGGGGCACCACCCCCTCCACAGAAGCCTGGCCCCACCCACCTCCTCAGCCAGAACCTTCTTTCTGTAGCCCAGGGGCCTCCCAGAAGCCAGGTGAGATCCTCGGACTCAGCCAGTGACTTGGCCCAGTCGTCGCCTCCCTCTGTGCCTCAGTTTCCCCTTTCGTAAGCTGCTCCCCCTCCTACCTGTGGGTGTGTCATCCCTGGGAAGCACCTGGGAAGCCCCGCACCCCAGCACCTGCCCACCTGGATGAGCTCATCGCGGGTGGCGAAGTTGGTAACTATGATGTTCTGGCCGTCGGACCAGCGGGTCAGTGAGATACCCAGCTGCTGAGAGGCCAGGATGTGCGCGTCAGCGGGCAGGTGCTCCTGCAGTCTCTGCTTGATGAACTCGATGGGGGCGAAGGCCGGGTGGAAGATGCCCAGACTCAGCTGCTTGATAATGTTGGTCAAGCCCAGGAGGTTGGAGCAGGAGAAGTCTGCGGGCCAGGCGGAGGAATGCCTCAGCCACACAGGTGGGAGTCACCTATAGGCCCGCCCTCCCGCCTGGGTGCAGTGATGGCCAAAATCCTTCCTACTGTCCTGGAGTCCATTGACTCACAGTGCCCCTAGAGGACAGAGTGGAAC